CTGCTACCAACATCTACTTTATCTGAAACCAGGTTTCTTTTTCTGATCATACTTTAAAAAATAATAATAATAAATTTAAAACAAGTTTTGTTTTCTTAAACCAGAGGAGCATTCAAAAGTAGTCCATATAAGCTGTTTGATGAACTTCATACATACAGCTCATTTCTTAATGGAAATCAGATTGTAAACTGAAAGTCTTTTATAAAGAAATTATACATTTACCAGTCGTAAATCCTACCTTAAAATGGTCCATCCAAAAGTTTTCAAACTACAAAATGTGAATGACTGCCTTCTTTTTCTGCTTTCATTATTTTACTTATGCAACTACATACAACCCTGACAGCTGTTACTTTCCAAACTCAGGAAAAAGGAATCGAGCGTAGGTAATTTCAAGAGTAATCAGTAAAAGCACTACAAAACAGGCACCCAGTCCGTAACACTGAAAAGGATGTAAAGAAGTCTTGCCCTACAAATTCAGCAGTAAGAACACATACAAGAATGAAACCATCTAAAACACAAAAGCAAATGTTAATAATAGGCAGCATAAGATGTAATAAATGAAACATCTGTCCCAATTCAGATGCAACAAGTGTTCTACAGTAAGTTGCTTTGTGACTGCCATCAAGTGACGGCAGATTTCTAACAACGTACACATCGACAGTGCCGGACACCTCCTCTGAAAGGGACAGTGTTGAGTTAGGGCAGCAAGTGGGGCAAGGTGGAGTATAACTATTGCCGAAGATGGTTACCAGTCACCTCAACTCTAAGTGGGGTAAACTGTGGCTTGTCAGTGGTCAGTTTATTGCAGCTGAATATATATCTCGTCATGGGAAATATTCATCTGAGTCTCTTGAGAGGAACCAGTGAAGCTGAACATGAAATAATGTCAAGTGGTCAGGAGAAAAAACTCTATCAATGAAGTGCCCCTAGCTTATGCATGGTTTTCTACTTACCTTCTTTTAACAAATGGATCTGACATGCTTTTACAAAAGCTCTATATACAAGTACCAGTATTACCCTTTCGTTATCATCACACAAGCAGATTTTTCTCACTCTAATTTGTGTTTGTGTTTCCCTTAAATATATATATACACATATAAATGTATTTATCTCTGCTGGTGTATCTTTTATTTTCCCCTTTCTTTACTGTGCCACGTGCAGCAGGGTCAAAAGCCTACGGCACACATGCCAGAAAGGTAACTAAGGCAGATTTTGATTGTCATACAGTACAGATTTACATATATGTCAGAAATGAAGCAGCTGCCAAATCACAACTCCTACTCTCTAAAATTGTATGCAAGACCTACTATTGTGCTCCAGTCAAAATTTCTGAGAGGCTCATGGTAATCAGCAAGCTGAAACTCAGCGAGAGACATGAGATATAGCAAGACAGTGCTTGTCAGTAAGAAAGTATTTGTGAGAGCAAAAGTATTTCTTTCTCCCTTCCCTCCTGGTACTCCAAACTCCGCTAGAGATGGGAAATGTATAGGTGTGTGAATGCTCTGATATGGGAAAGGAAACAGAGTTCACTAGATCATTCGTGACAGACTGTTGACCTCCAGTGCAGAGGATTAGAGGACATGCCTTTTGGGGAAAATAAGTAAGGCGTTGATTTTTCTAAATAAGACAGAGATTTTATTTTGCTTTCTGTGCTGAACTGAAATACTAAAACAAGCCCCAAATTACTCTCTCCTACAGAACACACTGAACAAAACACTCCTCTAACTGAAAAATACTGCAGTACATTTGAGAGCTCTGCATGCAGATGGATATACACACTATAACACGTACACCAGATCTGTTACGTGCTGTGAACAGTAGTTGGCCAATCTAACATACTAGACAAACTGCATGCAACTGGAGTAGAACAACAAATGTGTCTATATCTCAATCTCTAGAGTGAATTTAAACGTTGAGAGTCTGCTATCATTCAGTTCATCACATTTTTGGCCTGCCAACAATACAATTCGTCTCCTCCACTGGTGAGCACAGTTTCACCAGGAGTTAACCAGCAACACTGTAGTAAAGTTCCAGTTTTTACTAGACTTCTCTCTGTTCCCCCATAAGAGGTAGCCATAAATTAGGCTTCATATGTTCAATACTAATAATTCCAGCTATCGGGTTCACCTTTTACACTATGATAGTAAAATGACAGTTTTCAAGATTTGTTCCTTAACTTAGCCCTCTGAAATTTTCTCATAATCCAAGAAATCAAAGATGCCAAAGATGCTTTTAAAGCCAAGCCTCATTCAAGAAAACTGGCTGGTATTCCTTACCTTACTGGTAAGTACTGGCTAACACTATATTAATTCCTACAGTACTCCATTTGCTACGGTGTTACACAGTTCAGCCATGTTATTTTGATCACCAGACAAAAAACCCCAACTGCACCCATATAAACTTACTTTCTTACACATCCCTGGGTGCAGAGATTTTTCTAGTGATTTCCAGGTGCCCTCCCTCTCAGTGAGGTACTGCAACTGGCAATTTAGCCAAATGGTGCAGGTAAGGCTGAATGACCAGAAAGGGGAAAGGGCTGGGGTGCTGGGAGGGCAGGCTCTTACGAAGGAGCTGTCAAAATGAGCTAGGAGACAGAGCAGCACGGGACAGAGTGTTATGAAAGGTTCAAGCGACCTAGGCAGTAATGGCGAGCTGTTTAAGGGAGAGAGCTGTACCAGGGGGAGTTGTACGAGGAGGTAAGTAGGTAGTGGGTCAAGGTTGCAGATGTTACTACCACCTCCTACTTCTTGTATCTCAGCACACTTTATTCTCAAGACTGCAAGTGCAGAACATGGCCACCTCTAACCACCTCGGAATGTCTTACAGAAATACACTCAGGAATGCTTACAGGATGTGCTAGTAAAGTGGTCAAGATACCCACAAAAATATCCAGCTTCCAGAAGTGAGCCTAAACAAGAGAGAAACGTTAAGCAGAATGACCAAAATACAAGGAGAAAATGAATCTGTGTAAATGTATGCATAAACTGAAAGAATCAAGATTAAAGCTATGTATTGGATGGGAAGAATAAATAATTACAGAAAAAATAAAGTACATGCTGTTGGTATATTGGAACGGTAGTATACCAAAAACGCAGAAAAAAGAAATCAGCTCTGCTTTTTTCATACAGGAAAGGCAAGTGAACAATCATTAATACCCAAATAACTCTGAAGTTTAACATGCATATTACTATTGAGACACATAAGATAAGACTACAGCAAAGGTTTTAGTAGGATTCAGAGAATAATATATACATCCTCCCCTCCCGCCCCCCACTAGCTTAATTCACATTACCAACACACCAAAATGAAACTGAGAAAAGTTCTGTTCACAGACATAAATATCAGATAATAATTCATTAAAAAAATTAGCTGACAAGTTTTTCTGGAGTGCCTAATATTAACTATTCCTAAAAATGGGCCTTAGCTTTGGTTTGGCATAGACTCTCTCCTGTTCATTTCTTTTCATGAATCCTTTCACGCAACGTCTGCCAAATGATGTGATCACTAGCAGTTATATACAGTCAGACTATAGAAGAAATTTTGTGATTTCAGAGAAAAGTGATTTACTTCAGAAAAAAAACCCTGAGTTTGCATAAATGCTTCAGTTCAGAATAGGATTTAATTTTCTAATCCATAACAGTATAATATTTCATATTAAATACTGTATGCAATATCATCTTCCAAAATATATATCACTGAAATATTTCTATCGTTAAAAGGCCGAGTATTGCAAGTTATTTTTAAGGCATAAGGCCCTAGCGTCAAGATAAGGCTTGCATTTTAGAAGTTTTCCACTCCCTCCTCCGCTGTGAAACAAACATCTTCCCCACTTTTGGAAAGCAAGAGCAAAATAATGGAGGTGGTTTTGATGCAACATACAGCTGACAGATGTCCTGTGAATGGTTTCTAAGGAAAATATAACCCAACTAGAACGTCAAAAAGAAAAATTTACACTATCCAAACATCCTTCTTTATTAGTAAAGGAAAAAGAAGCCATGAGGACAGATCTTACTCTGGGGATGCTTTTAAACTTTACAAACATAGCAGGTAGGTCAAAGTATGAAGGCAAGTATCAAAAAGATATGACAACTTTATCAAAGGAAACTTTTACTAACAACAGCTACCCCAGAACTTTTGTATGGAGAGATGATTCATTCCCTAGATAACAAATCCAACACTTTCTATGAGCAACATATAAAATTATCTTCATCCGCTTCTGCCATTATGACCATTTTTGGGACTGCTGTTTTTCTCAGTGCTTAACTAACCTGCAGTGGCAAGAACTTTAGAACCCCAAATGGTGAGTTTACCTCCTGACGCTGCAGAGAGTTTTTGCTACTACAACACAGCGGTTCTCAATCTATCCATCACATCTATAAGCAGTTTGGAACATCTATGCAGACAACTTCTTATAACGTTTACTGACTGCACCGATGACATTAGGATACAGAATGGGAAGAGATTCCCAACAGGATTCTCTTCTCGAATCACCCATACAGCAAGGACACTGGTTTCCTGCTAGGTAAAAATGTTTTTAACATTCGTTTTTAAATAAACAATAAAGCAAGAAATGCCCAATATTGTGGGGTTTTGTTTGGGTTTGTTTTGTTTTGTTTTTTAAACTAAAAAACAAAAAATTAAGGCATACAGAGAACAGAAGCTGTTGAAAAACAAAGCAATGAATTTTACTTTATTAAAAAAAAAAAAAACCAAACAACTGAACAACAGGCTGATGTGCTTATTATCATCACAGCAAGTGAATAGAAAGCTAAATGTCAAGCATTACTACAGATATAGGTCAGCAATTTCTATTGTTAATGCCATTCAGCAGGTACCCATGGCAGGAGGTAGTCACCTAATCACAGTTTCAGTTGCTTAAAACAAGTCAAAGTGTTTCACTGTTCTGCTACTTTGCCACTGAATAAAGCTGCTGCTCAGTAGAATTCATTTTAACCAAAGGAGAAAAAAAAAAGAAAGAAGAAAAAAAATATATCACTTACCATTGTGATGAGAACTCTATATTTATCCAGCATTGCCTGGTTGTCATGGCATCCTGCCAGCAACTGCCAAACCTCTGCCCTTAGTGCTTCTGGAACACCACTTTTCACCAGGGTAGATAATCCATTTGGTCTCACAACAAGGTTATTGTGCCTGAGAAACAGACAATCATTTGCCTATTTTACTCCAACTACGAGAGTAGAAATCAAGACAAAAAATAGTAAAACTTTTTCAACTTTCCAATGTTATTCTTAAAAGTAGAGTCAGCAACTAGCAACATAAACTTCTCTTTCACTGGTTACCCTAATTAGTATTTGTCAGACGGAAAGCAAGAATTCTGCAAGGATTTACAATAAGAACCAGTGGCAAAATGTAGTGATACCCAAATTCTCTAGGTTTGGAAAAATTAATGAAAATTAGAACAATAAACAATTGCAGAGATTGAACTAAACTGGCTAATGAAGAACAATTTTAATTGAAAGAGAAAACCGTGCCATCTGTGCAGACAATTCAATTTAAATATTTGTTCAACATATACATTTAGCTCAGGTTAAGAAAAGGAAATTAAAAATAACCTAAGCTGTATAGAGAAATAAATTTTGGAAAACAAATAAAAGCCAGATTTATTCACTGACGTGAAGACTGAAGTTCCAGTTTTACACTTAATGCCAAGAGTATGCTGCAAGTCCCACAAAGCAGTAACACTTGCACATACCTTGGTAAAATCCCACCATTCCAAAGAAAGCTGCCTATTAGTTTGAGCTAGCATTTTACTATCTGTACACACAGCAAGAAATGTAGGAAGACAATTGCGGGATGACTTTTTTTTATTTTCCAACGCTGCATAATTAATCATACAGAAGTTGGTGTATAAAACTATGCAAAGGCTGTATTCAGACAGGCTGAATACTAAAGATGTGTTTTTCAAAAATAATCCAGTCACTGAGCCCATACATTTAGGATAAAATCACTGCATACGCACAATATTGCAGAGCTTTCAGTCACAGATGTTTAAAAATCTTTTTTGAGATAATAGTGTTTACTGATCTAGATTAAACCTCGCTTTGACTTACTACGGCAATTTTCATCGCAATGCAGCAGGAAGACTGTGTGGTTTGACTCTCTTCTTTCTAATGCAGGAAGTGCTTTGCTCTCTCACTGTTTTTACCATTGTTATGTTTTTCAACTCTACTGGTAAGAGAATAGTGAGAGTGGCGGTTTAGCCAAATGGTAGCAAGCCGCAATTAAATAAAATAACTGGCAATTTGACCCTCAATTTTAAGTAAATGTTTAGAGTACTCATTCTTTGAAACAGGTCATTAAGATGTGAACAGTTTACCGCTACTGTTTTTAAATTTAAAAAGGTGCTCTAAATAATTTTTTTTCCTATACTCGGAGGATATCCCCTTTTTTCTAAATGACTTGAGAATTAAAAACAGAGTGTGTGATTGTGTAATGCCCTTGTTCTTTAAACACAATAATTATTTTAAATTTTAAATGTGTAGTGCAACAAAAGTAATTTCAAATTTTATCATTCGGTTAGCCAAATTAAAACCCAATTAGTCCCTTTTCTCTTTTTCAGTACATTTTACAGCAAGTCACATTAGACTAATGGTCTTGTGATGGGAAAAAAGCTAGAAAGAAAAGACAATATCCACAGAAATATTAAAAGAACTAGACACTGTAAGCGGTTACAGAATTATGAAACGTACATTCAGGAATAAATAAATAAAATACACCAGAAACTTAAAGCTCAAGTTGTGTGAAAATGAAGCACTCATAGCACACTTCAAATCAGGTTAGTTTGGTTATTACATGGATTTTGTCATATGTATTATATATGAAACACAGAAGGCCACCTCTGAGGACTCGGCAAGCAGATAAAATAAAAAGAACAGCTAAAAAGACGCATTCCCATATAAACATAACAGGGAATTTTTCAGTGACACTAAGAAAACAATGCAAATAGTTTATGGCAACAACTAACAGAGATGCACATTCCATGCTGTAATACCATCCTTACTACTAAACATTCACAACTGAGAATTAAGCATCCTACAGTACACCAGATTTTACTGGATTTGTCATATATTTAGATAGTTTTACAGTAGAGGTAATACTTTAGCAACATTAGTCCATGCAGTAAAGCATAACTCTGTAACTTTAATAGACAATTTCTCAGTTTCTGAATGTCTGTTTGGGAAACAGCTTGATCATTAATAAACCTTGCTCTGTATTCTACAATAATGAGCAAATACACATTTTTCCCTCCTTTGTGTAGAGGCCCAGGCACCTTACATTCCTAGACACTTTCTGACACCTGCTTGGCCAGACTATAACAGAAAGAAGCATAAAATAAAAGCTTGTCTTATTCTAGTCTTATCCTCTAGCACGTGGAAAAAAAGGGGTCATTCATGGATGCTGACATCTTTAATTTGTTACCAAGTGCTGTAATTCTCCTGCGCAAAATTCAAACACATAATTTTAAAACATCAAAGAGGGAGGATACAGAACAGCGATGCATAGACTATGCTCCGACTTGACAAACAAATATTTCTGATTAAAGACTCCTATTGACCATTACAGCTTTTTTTTTTTTTTAAACACATCAGAAATAGTTAAGTACTCAGCTAAACTAGCTCAGCTTGCAAGAACAACTTTAACGCTGAGGATGCAGTAAATACTAAAATAAATTAAAAGATATTCCATTACTTTCCAACTGTTTATTGTATCTTTTGGGTAAATTATCTTATTCTTATTCCGGTTTATATGTTTGAAGGAGACTCTTGGAGCAATGTTTCTGCTGAGTCAGTCCGTTAGGTTATAGTGACATTTTAATGAAATGACAAGAAACAATTAAAATGCAAGAAATTTTTCATCTAAGAGACAAATCAGCACACCAGTTCTCCAAGTGGAAATGTTAATTTTTATTTACTTACTTTTTTTACAAGTGCACAGATATTCCACTAGCGTATGCTGCAGTTTTCAACACAATTCTATTTTTAGTTTTCAAATTGTTAACATTTTTCATCTGTTACTGTTTCCAAGTCTTGTTCTTAAAATGTAGCTTAACACTATTCGAGAAGTCAAGTATTTTATACACTTGAATTTCTCTCAAAAGGTAATATTGCTTGAGACACTCCTAAAGAAAATGTTTGCTACTGCTTGTCTTCAAGCTGGCTGCGATCTCCCATTTCTCATCCCATTTTTAACTCATTTTAACTAAGGCGTTTTAACTACTGAATGATTCTCTGAGTTAAGTGTATAAGTTTATGTTAGGACTTCAAAATAGTTTACTCCAAAAGTCTTAAATGTTTTGTTTCATTGAATAGTATACTTGAGTAACTTGAAGAAATAGTTGGTTATGTGAAACTCGAGAGAATGAGCCGTGGGTGGTTCTTCACTTCAGCATGCTTATCCACAGGAGTCCAGATATTTATCAAGGGCAAAAGTTAGAACTAAAAGAATCAACTGACAGATGAATGAAAAGAAAAAAAAAATTAAAAAGTAGCATCTTCCAGTGCAAATGCAATGCAGATTAAAACAAACCTGCCACACAGTTCTTTATGGACTCAGGATGGCTTCCCTCATTGGCCAAGGGGTGCCAGATATAAAATTGCAAACAATTTATAAACTCTCTCTTGGATGTTCTTTAGAACAGGCCTTGGAAAGTTCTAAACAACCCCAGAGCAGATCTGTTTACAGCCTTTTCAGGTGAGGAAACCACACTTGTCTATAGGGATCAACTGACTTCCACACTTTTCCTCAGTATTTTCTTAATCATTCAGAGGGTCCATAGCGAGAATATCTGTACAATCATTAAAATAAATTAAATATTTGTGCCTACCCAAAAACATCTTTCATTAAGGCCAGAAACTTGGATGACAGAATAGTTAAAAGCAAGCAGGAGCGAAGGGTTCCGGAGGGAAGGGTTCCATTAAGCTCAGTAAAATCTTGTGATGTCTCATTTAGTAACCTTTGCATGAGATCTCCATTAAAGATGAGGTCAGCAGGAAGAGGCTGCATTTCTCTAAAGCTACAAAGTGACCACGTAAAGGGGGGAATTGCCCGAATAAATCCTTAAAATGTTTTTCAGCACTCTTTTTGGAGTTAGGAAAAGGAAACTTTGCCAATTCCAAATTAAGGGCCTCTGATCATTTTTGTCTCAGGCAGCCAGAGCTACTACTTACAAAGGGAAAACCAAGTAAGTGGTTCTGGCATTTGCTAATAGTAGAAGGTCTCTCAGAGGTAGCAAATATGCAGATATTTTCCTCTCTTGGCAAGGTATACACTGCTACTGAAGCACTTAATTAAACCAAAGAAATAACACTGTTGAGAACATACTCTAGGCTTACAAATATTCTTCATCTTACTCTCCAACAGAAACAGTTTCAGCGAGGATCAGTGTCTTTCTAGAATCCCTTTTCAAGTGCTTACATGTAGCACAAAAAGAAAAAAAAGTGTGCCTCTAAACAAATCAATCAATTAAATGTACATCAGCTAGCATAAATGACTTAAGACAGGACAAACTGGAGTTGCTCTGTCTTTTCTATCCTAGCACTGAGAGGCACCAAGTTTCATGAGAGCTTAAAATCCAGTCCCAAGGAACACAGGTGGCCAGAAAGACTCACACCTGCAGTGTGAGCATACAGGCCATATTCTCAAACACTGAAAAAAACAAGAGTTTTGCAGATGCTGTGGGAGACATTTGTCAAATAACTGCAAGTTAAAATAAGAGGATTTACCAGGTCCTTTTAAACTAGGTTTAAAAAACAGACTTCAATGTGTTTTGTATTTTAGTTTTTAAACTGTGTAAGGTGAAGATTTTCAAACCTCCTGCTCAAGAGCACATAGTCTCACAAAACAAATAAAAGGTTAGTATTTAAAATCTAAATTTAAAAAATGAAGCATTACCATCTCCCCAGTAATTCTCCCCAGGAATACAAAATCTTCTCAGGACAGTCCTTTGACACATCACCAGTGCCACTGGAGAGTTCATTATCACTCTCTGGAAGGGAAAAAAAAAAAAAAAAAGACAAAACAAGAAAACAAAAGCATGCACACAATTACCAAAGAGAATAGACATTAAAGATGCATACATATAGGTCTCAAGACAAATTTTTTTCACCTATCACTTTTAAAACCACAAAAAGACATAGAAAATATTAGTGGAACTATAAAGAACGTTTAGCAGACCTGACAAACCAAGTGTATTAATAAAGTTACCATAAAGTTTAAGAGAACAAGATTAGGGAATAATTCACAGCACTGTTACAGGAAAAAGGGTTGGGATCTAGGAAAGCGTTACGTGAGAAAAGATTCAAGGCTGTCAACTATCCATTTAATGAAAGTTCACAATGCATTATTATCTAAAAGTCAGATTCACTCCAGACTCCACATAAAGAGAACTCTCTTTTAAAGCACAGTAGATAACACTACTTCATTACACTGCATCCCTTACATGCCATTCTGCTCTCATGTGGTACTCTGATCTCAAGCAGCCTACCCAGAGCCACAAAATAATTTCTTTTACTGAAACAAGTTCATGGAAGAGCAGCAAAAACACCACTGTGACATTAAAGGTCATGTTGCATGGAACAGAAAAGAATGCTTCAAATGGAAAAGAAACCTCGTAAGTATTAAGAATAAAACACTTATGGAGGGATACATATCATTATATGACTAATACACAAAACTAGAAGGGATAATGTGAGCCTGGGATAGCATGCTCAAATAACCATCCAATTCAAGTAACAATCCAATTTCCAAGTGTCTTCTGGGTCTATGCAGCTGTCCACAGTAAGCTGAACAGTCCTCATGTGAACATGGTTTTGCAGTTATTTGGACTTTTTCCAGTTTTATCTGAATAAAACACTGCTAAAAATTAAACATGAGTACAATTTCAAGACCACCAAACACTGACAGGGCTCCAATTCTCAGCACCTTTACTATGAAACACAAAATAAACAGACACACTGCAACAGCCCCATTATCCTCAGAGGCCTCTGAAGCTATAGACAGTTTACATGTTAGAAGGTCTCCAAGGCTTCTCTTTCCTGTGAACTGAGCTGTCTCAAGAAGCTAAAATAAAACACAAAAGGAGGACCAAAGCTACATCTGCTCCCAAAATCCCTTAGGTACTCTCTTCAACACAGCTCAGTCACATCTGGTTGCTGACCTAATATCTTTAATTCCTCAGGTATGTTAAACACTTCATGTCCACCTTTATGTAGCCAACAGTAGTAGCTCAGGTAGAGGAGGATCTTCAGTACTTGCACAATTATCCTCTTAGATCTTCATCCTTGTCATTCTCACTTCAATTACACATTTCTAATTTATAGTCTCAGCAATTGTCAAATACAAGCCCTTAATAAAAATATCATCAGTGCTTGAATTTGACAACTAACTGTGAGGACAAAGATAGCATATACTGTATCTTAAGGACAATTAACAGCAAAAATGCTGCCGTGAGAGGAGAGAGAAGCATATCAGAAATCTCTTTGTATTTCACATTGAACATTAGATTAGTGAAACCCTTAAGCTTGGAACCTGTTTGTACAGCTTTACAGGCCCCAAAATATAAGACCAACCTGCATTTAAATACTTCCCCTTAGAATTTAAAAAAAACAAACCAACCAACCAAAACACCTCCAAAAAAACCAAAAACACCACAAACACACCCACGCTCATCATAAACCTACAGGAAACTTGATATTAATGTTTCCCAATCTTTTGCAAACATTCACTAGATCTAAAGATGGAAACAGAAAGATCTAAAACCCCCAAATTTGTAAGTTTAACTAAAATTTGGTATCACTATAAAAGGATTCCCAGGAACCAAAGGAACCCATTAAGTTCCAGTGGAAGAAATATATTTGAAGACTCAACTTTCCTTTCATTTTAAAATTATCAAAAATATTGTAAAGGCAAATCTCCTCACTTTCCACCCAGGCCTGGGAATAACTAAAAAAAGTTAATTTAAAGCAATTAAATGCATTACATTTTTTAAATTGTCTCCTCTCCTGATTTGCCTAACCGGATCAAAGACATCAATTATAAATGCAGCTCTTCTACTTCCCATGGAAACAAGGAAAAAAAATTTTGAGGAAACCTTCTCTAGACTGAGTCCATTGGCCATTCAGAGATACAAGGTACATATTAATGGTTATGATACATGTTAAGAATCTCAAGAAACCTGCCTCAGAAAATTATCATAAACTGCAATTTCAGAAAGGTTTCGCACATTCAAGGTAAAGGAAGACAATTTGGCACAAAATTCTCAGAGATTTGAATTACTTTGGAGAGACTGAAGAGCTACAGTGCATCTCTACAAGAGCTACTGGTGAAAACATACACAAACAAATCTTGCAGTCTGAAACCAAATCTGATAGACGAATAAAACAAATCCCCAACCAGACCAAAACATTTAAAAATGAAGCTACACTGAATAGTTTCAGGAACAAAGCACACTAGCTGTTATCTGATCCAAACCTGAGCTTGCCAAGGAATACTAACATCAGACAAAACAGAAACAACCCCCTTCTTTCTACGCTGGTATTCTATGGAAAATTCTTCGAAGTTCTTAAGGAGATCAGTGTTACATAGCGTATGTATTCCGGCAAGATATATCACAACACTACAGTGCTTAAGTCCTGAAAGTTCTTTCATCTGCAAGGCTTAACGATATTTGGAATGTATTATTCAGTTATATGTCAGAAAATCACAGGCCTTAATTAGAAATGCCATATGCTCCCTTTCAAAAGACGCTAACGTCAAACTTCAAAATAGAACAGGGCAAAGGAGAGAGAATAAACAGCTTTAAAAATCTTTACTTTGTTTCCACTCTAAAGACTATTTACATATTCCAACCTGTGTAAGCACTTAGGTATAAATTAAAAAGGGAAAAAAAATAAAAAAAAGAGGTCTTTGGAGGGATATTTAATTATATTCTTCTCTGACGTGTACTTTTATCCTTTATTTTCCCCCACATTCTATAGCATCTATAAGCCAGCAGCATTAGCCAGAGCATGGCTTTATCCAGCCTGATTCTGCAGGGAAAGCCACAGATCCCTTCCTCTAAATGTATCATGTATTTCTCCCTTCCTCCTTTATTTGCCCTGACCTCTCACAGCCTCTCAACTGGACAATGAAACTTATGCCTCATCAGAACAGGAGGAGGGTGGAAGACATCTCAAGGGAGCAAACCTGAGGAGCTGGGTTGTAAACATGTGTACACACAAATAGCCTTTAAGAATACTTACAGATAACAGTAAGCCTCTCAGGTTTTTTGTTTATTTGTTTGCTTTGAATTGCAATGTGATTCCCAAAAAACTCACTTTGTAGATGCCTCATGAACCAGTTCCCTGAATTCAGACCCTCTGTTTAAAGCAAGCCTGAAGGATCACGCTTCTACAGCAAGCATTGCTCTGCATGGCTTCAGCATAGAATCAGAATATTTTGGGCTGGAAGAGACCTCTGGAGATCATCTAGTCCAACCTCCTACTCCAAGCAGCCCTAGTTAGATCAGGTCACTCAGGGACCTGAGTGAGAGGGTAGAGTCTTGAACACCTTCAAGAAAGGAGACTGTAGAACGTCTCTGGACAACCTGTTCCTCTACTTGACCATGCTCATGGTTTAAAAACAAACAAATGAACACACCAAAAACATCCTTTTATCTAACCAGAATTTCTCAGGGTCCAACTTGTGTCTAGTGTTTGTTGCCTCTCAGCCTGTTGTTGTGCACCTCCGAGAAGAGCCCGGCTCCAGTCCTCTGATGTAGTAGTTGTAGACAGCAATAAGATTCTTCTCTGCGCATTTTCCTCTCCAGCCTGAACCAAAACCAATTCCCTAACCCCTCATTGTATGTCATGTGCTCCCACCATCTGACCAGCTTGGTGGCCCCCACTGGACTTGCTCCAGTCTGTCCGTGTCTGTCTTGTACTGGGGAGCCCAAAACTGGACCCAGTACTCCAAACACAGTCTCACAGGTGCTGAATAGAGGGGACGGATCACTTCCCTGGACCTGCTGGCTAGACTCCTGCTAATACAGCCCAGGGTGTGCTGGGCCTTCTTTCCTGCAACGGTACACTGCTGACTCATTTTCAACTTTTTGCCTGCTGGGATCACCAGGTACTTTTGTGCAAAAGTCACTTTGTATCTGGTTAGTGTCCAGCCTGTCTTGTCACATGGGATTATTCTGTCGTGGATACAGGACTTGGCACTTGCCTTTGTTGATCTTCATGAGGTTCCTGCCAGTGCATTTCTCCAGCCTGTCCAGGTCCCTCTGAGTAGGAGCCCTGCCCTCCAGCATTATCAGCCACTCCCCCAATTTGCTGCTGTGCACAAACCTGCTGAGGGTAAGCTCAGTCCCATCATGCAGGTGATTAATAAAGACATTTAGCAGCACTGATCCCAATACTGATCTCTGAAAGATACCACTACTTACTGGCTGCCAGCAGGACTTTGCACCATTGATTGATTCTTTCATCCCAGCAGTCCAGCCAACCTTCTAACCAGATTATTTTTCACTTATTCAGTCCCTATCTCATTGATTTAATGATAAGGACGTTATGGGACATGGTGTTGGAGGCCCTGCTAAAATCAAGGTGTACAGCATTCACTGCCTGTCCCTTGTCCACAGTACTGGTCACCTTGTCACAGAAAGCAATGACATTGGTCAGAATGATTCACCCTTCATAAATCTATGCTGGCTGTTCCCAATGACCTTGTTTGTCCTTCACGTGTTTAGAAACTACTTTCGGGAGTATTTGCTCTGTAACTGGTCCCATGGACTGAGGTTAGACTGACCTGGATCTTCCTTCTGGCCCAATGACATTTGCTTTTCTTCTATGGACATTTGCCATATGCATGAGAGAAATACGGAAGCCTGTACAGATACCACTGAGGATGGGGGAGGATCTCTGGATGATAAATTTTGCATATAGTCTGTTTTTTGTTAGTATACCTATAGACAAACATAAACGTGTAAAAAATGGTCTCTTTCAAGAA